AGAGCAAGTCCACCGCAGACGCAAAGACCGAATCAAACTTCCGATGCGATGGAGCCCGGCTAACTTGCGGACCGGAAGGCCTTCCGAATGGAGACCGCCGCAGATGCATAGAACCACGGGGCGCCCTGAACAGTGGATGACAGCTGCCATGAACCCGTCGAGAGCCGACAACCCCGGGGCACGCACTGCCGCCGTAGACCGCGCCTTTCGAAGCCACCCCATTTGGAGGTGCCTTCGGGAGGGGACCTTTTCACCACGCTCGTTGGCCTTGCCTGCTGCGAAGCTGGAGTGATGTCGGCCGCTGGGCCGCGCAGGGTCGGAATGACGCCGACGACCAGCACCTCTGGCTGGAGCGCCCCACTTGTGCAACTGCGACTCGGAGACGCGAGTCTCTGCAACCCCGATGTCCTCGTGCGCGGGGGCGGCGGGCTCTAGGAAACCCCGGGCCTTGTCGCCCATGGCCGTCACGCTGCAGAAAAAATGCGGCCGCTACTGTCCGCGGCCGCTCGAGAAAAAACCGGCGGCTGGCACCGCGGCGCCCCGTCGGCGGCACGACGCTCGGCCCGCGGCGAAGGCCGTCAGGCCGTGGTCTTGGACCCCTTGGCTGCGCCCCTCGCCCTTGCCCGCCGGTGCCATATTTCGGGCTTCCGCCTTCGCAGCCGCTTCGAACTTGGTCGCCGAGAGGCGGGCCTTCGCCTGCGCGATGGCCTGCTCTCAGCGGCGGGCGGAGCCGGTGCAGTCGAGGGCCCAGCAGGGGCGGCAGCGGCGCCACAGGGAGTTTGCCCACCCACCGTCACTGGAGGCACCATCTGCTTGCCCAATAACACAGTTCTGGGGCCGAAGCGTTGCCGTCCGCGCCCCGCCGCTTATTGCCGAGACGCATCTGGATGTCCATCTGAACCTGGGTGGCCTTGTCCAACCAAGATTGCATATCCGCATTCTTCGTCGTGGATATGGTCTGCATCCTCTCGAGCTCGACCTTGATGGCATGCAGCCGGGTGCGTTCATGCTACTCGACACTGCTCCACGTCGTCGAAAATGGAGGCGTCCCAGGAAACCTCGAGAACTGGCTTGTGCCCATCCGTGGCAGGGGGGCTGAGGCCAGCTGCCGGTGCGCGGGCCTGCGCGGCCTGCCTCTCGCCGATCTCGGCGGAAGCAAGCACGCGGGCAGCCGTCCTCTCCTTCTCCTCCGCGGTGGCCAACGCCGCCTTCAAGCGCCGAGCGTTGGCGACCGCCTGATCGTGCTGGCTGCGCCGAAAGTGAGTCCACCTTGGCCTTGAGCGCCTTCGTCAGCTCAGAGTCGTCGGAGGCGGCGATAACGGCCAGCAAGTGGTCCGTGACCGAGAAGACGGGTGTCCTCCACGGTGGAGAGCTTCACCGGTCAGTAGGTTTCTCCTCAAAGCCTCCGATCAAGACCCGTTTTGATTTTCGCTGGGAGTTGTTTCGTATTATTGCTGCAAAGTAATATGATGTGGTGACTGCTGAAAACATCCTTCCATTCGCACCGTCGGCGTGAACTACATAAGCTCCACAGACGCGGAAAATCAAACATGACCATGAAGGATGAGGAACTCTGGCTATAGTTATCGTGCGAATCCTTGGAAGACAAATCGCCGCGCGCAGGCATTAGAGTCGGCCCAAAGCGATGGTTGGACCCCAAATGGTTTGAGAGGACGATGATGAGGAGAAGGGGAGGAACAGGACGACGACGAGAACGAGGAGGAAGAGGATGCCGAGGAGGAGGGGGAAGAAGATGAAGAGAACGACGAGGAGGACGACGACAAGGTGGCCGAGGAAGGCGAGGAGGACGACGACGAAATTTTCGTTTCGGAAACTTTTGCGCGCCTTTGGGCCGTGCCTGGAAAACTTGGCACGACTGAGCCGATTCCCTGCGGCTCTGCCGCTCCACGTTGATCTCCTCCGCCGGCCCCCTGGACGACGATCGTTTTTTTGACCTCTACGGGCCCACCGCACAATTCCGAGCTGGCAGCGCGGGCACTGCCAGCTCTTTACACCAACGTAGCAGAAGGGAATGAGAACTTAGTAAAGGGGGGTCAGCGAATCAACTTCACTATAACTGATCTCCCCCAGGCGCCAGTCTACCGCAAAGATAGCGTGGTGGCGGGGTCAAAACCAGCTGCACGCAGCTGATTTCACATCCTTCCTTTTCCTAACTTCCATTTTCGTCCAACCCGAGACGACGACAACGACAACGACGACGAGGACGACGACAAGGATGATGACGATGTCAACGTCGACGTCTTCGTCCTGGAGGCTTCTGCGGGCTTCGGGGGGGGTTCGTCGTCGCGGCTGGACCGTGACTCGCAAAAGCTGGGTCGGACTGAACAAGTTCCCTGCGGCACTGGCCAGTCGAAATCGAAAATGAATCGGATCTGTCGGGGGTCGAGGATCGAGATGCGGGGGTCGAGAATTGATGACGTCTTCGGCCCCTCTTGTAGGGAAAAGAAACAGCGGCACCACCACCACCACCAGCGCGAGGAGCCAGGCCTTTTTGTTCCGGATGGAGTGGGCTCCCCTCCCCGCTGGAGATCTCCCCTCTCCCCAGCTCGGGGAGGCAGCGTGAACCTCCTCGCTGGATGTGCCGGCCCTCTCCCCCTGGCCTGGAACTTTTGCCGTTCGCTTGCTCGCGGCCTGCCCACCCCCTCCCCTGGCCTACCCCTGGCCCTCCTCTAAGCCCCATCCCCCCCCCTGGCCCTGGAATTTCGTGGCCCCTCCGCTCCTGGCCCCTCCCTCCCCAGCCCCCATCATTCCCCCTGGACCCGGAGCTCTGGCCTCCCCCTGGCCCCCCTCGCTCCCCCCTGCCCTGCCCCCGAGCACTCTTTATTTTCGTAGCTCGCTCGTTCGTGGCCTGCCCCCCATCGCCAGCCCCCTCGCTCCCCCTGGCCCCCGATCCCTTGCCTACGCCTGGCCACCCTCGCAACCCGGGGCCCCGGGGCCATTGTTCTCGAGCTCGGAGCCCTTGACTTTTGGCGTCGCTCGTTCGTTCGCTCTTCGCCCCCCCTGGGCCTGGGCCCCCCTGCCCCTGCCTCCTCATGCCCCGAGAAGCCCCCCTCCTGGGGAAACTGAGAGGCACTGATAGTGCTTATCCTTGGGCCTCTCCTGGAGTACGTTCTGACCACGCATTTCGAGGCGAAGCCAGCGGTGGCGACGACGGCATCCCAGGAAGCCCCCAAAAAGGGGACACGAGGAAAGGGCAGCAACAGGGGAAACTCCTCCTCCTCCTCTTACGAGAACCTCCCCCCTCCTCCTCGCCTCGCCTCGCCTCGCCTGGCCCGCGCCCTCCCTCGTGCCAGAGCCAAAGCGTGCGTGCCACTTGTTTCCTCCAGAGGGGGGTTCTCGTCAGAGGAGGAGAAGTTACCCATGCTGCTACCCTTTCCTCGTTTCTCCTTGCTGGGGCTTCCTGGGATGCCGTCGTCGCCGCCGCTGGATTCGCCTCGAAATGTATGGTCAGAACGTACTCCTCCAGTTTCAGACTCCCGAATCCTTGTAGGGAGGGGGCCCGGGGGGGGGGGCAAAGGCCTCTCTAAAAGTGGGTGGACGCTTCCGGCCCTCGGGGGGGGGGGAGACGACCTCGGGGAGTAGGCCCAGGGAGAGGAGGCGGACGGCCTCTCTCGAACAAGCCGAAAGCGTCAGGGACTCAAGGCTGTCGTCCACCGCGACTCCCACTCGCCCTCTGAAAGTCAAAGAGCAATCCTGCCACGCATCTCCTCCTTCTTCTCCTCCTCCGCCTCCTCCTCCTCCTCGTCCTCCTCCTGCTCTTCATCCTGCTGGTCCTCCTCCACCCCCCTCCCCCGAATCCCGACCTCCTCGGCGGCGGGCTGTCGTGCTTTCTCTCTCCTCCTCCCCCATTCCCTCCTCTGCACATTGTGCTCATCAACATGCCTACAAAACCCTACCTTCCGCCCATGAGAGCAAAGGAGCCACCGCCACCCGAACTCCATAGAATTTCGTTCCCAAGCAGCACCCCCCCCGAGCTGGTGGCACTCCGGCGTTCTGGGCACTCTTTGGGGGCGCGCCTGGGGAACTGGGTGCCACCAGCTCGGGGGGGGGGGTCGTCGTCGTCGTCGTCCTGCTGCTCCTCCTCCTCCTCGTCGTCGTCGTCGTCGTCCCCGTCCTCGTCCTCGTCGTCGTCCTCGTAGTGGTTCTTTCTTCTCTGGAAACCCACACGCGTCCGACAGCCCCCGAGAGCATCCGTAAACCACCGCAAGCTCGCCCGAAGGTGGAGGGCTCCGCGGAGACCTGCGGAGGCACCCGGCGCCCCTCTGCAAAAGGGCCAGCAGTTCCCAACACACTGACATTCGCTCCCAGCAGCGCCCGGCACACAGTTATTCGCTCCTCGCTCCTCAGTTCCTCGATCCTCCACTCTCTAGACTCCATCCTCGACCATCTGTCCCTCGATCCTTGATCCATGGATGCTCAATCATGGATCCCCCAGTCCTCGATCCATCGATGCTCGATCCCTGACCCTGTATCCTCTATCCTCTATCCTCAATTCTCCAGGCTTGCCAGAGGTGTCCCTTGGCCGAAGGGGAGCCCAGCTTTTCGCTCCATTGTGGAGCCCCTGGGGCCCTCTGGGCCTCGCGAGTGGTGATCTGGAGGCCGTGGGGGCTCTTTGGAAATCCTGGGGACACTTCTCCTCGAGCCCCGATCCTCAACTGCCCCATGCTCCGCCTCCACGCCCTGAGAGGCGCCGAAAAGGCCCTCGGAGGGAGCACGAACCTGGGGCCGCACTTGCGGGGACAGCACGCGACCAGAACCACATCGAGGACGAACCCTGGGAGCTGCTGTGCGCATGACAGCGGTCGGCAAAACACCGAAGCCAGCTTTGTACTGGTTGTGGCTGATTTGGGCCTCCCAGACGGCCAAATCGACCACACAATCACAACCAGAGAACTCATGTCAAGGTCGGTGAGTTCCCCCCCCCCCGAGGGGCCCTCCAGAAAAATCAACCTCATTTTGGCTATGGTATGTTGTTGTGCCAGAATATCCATCCTTGTTCTTCGTCCGCAAGCTGTCGAGCTCGCGCTTGAAATCGAGGTACCTGGGGGGGGCACCGCGGAGGGAGTCATCCGGCCCCCGCGTGGGAGCAGCTGTGAAGAGGGGAAAAGGGTCAGAGAGCCGAACCATCCCTGGAGTCCGTAGGATGGAGGCGATGGTACGGGGCCAAAAATATACACCACCACCACCCCCTCCCCCTACCAGGAAAAAGGAGAGGAAGAAGAGAGTACAGGAGGGAAACCTGGAGGTGGTGGTGTGGTGTGTATTCTTGGGGCCCGCAGGTGAAGAGAAGTCTTATGTTTACCCGGATGGTGGAATGCTCTTTCCAATAACGAATAAACCTGGGCCGAGATGGCGATCGGCGAGGGAAGGAGAAAGAGAGATAACCAGGGCACGCACACAGCAACCAACACCATCGCAAGGAGCCGGTAAGTTACCCGCCTCTGCGGCCGCCCTCCTCTGTTTCTAATTCGCTCTGCCGCGTCCGGGATGTTCCTGTTTGACGCCTCGTGCCCCGGGCCGCCTCAGACAAAAAGTCAGCGGGGTCCCCCTGAGACTTCTACAGTCTCCTGGCTGGATGGGAGAGTAGAGGCACCCCAAAAATGCATTCACATAAGCTTTCGGGAGTCCACGCGTGTTTCCCGGCGGGGCCGGGTGAAATTCCGTGCCCGCCGGTGACTGACTGATTGACTGACTGATTGACTGACTGCACGTCAGGAGAGCGCCTTGAACAACACATTTCAAACCGCCCGCGGGCGCGCAACCGCAACTGGGCGACACATTTCGACCCGTCCGCGGGCGCGCAGACGCAACCGCACATGGGCGCCACATTTCAACCCGCCCGCGGGCGCGCAACCGCAACCGCACCTGAACGACACATTTCAGCCCGCCCGCGGGCGCGCAACCGCAACTGGGCGACACACTTCAACCCGCCCGCGGGCGCGCAACCGCAGCCGCAACTGGACGACACATTTCGCCCCGCCCGCGGGCGCGCAACCGCAACCGCACGTGGGCGACACATTTCAAACCGCCCGCGGGCGCGCAACTGCAACCGCACCTGGGCGACACATTTCAACCCGCCCGCGGGCGCGCAAACCCAACTGGGCGACCCATTTCAATCCGCCCGCGGGTGCGCAACCGCAACCGCAACTGGGCGCCGCATTTCAACCCGCCCGCAGGCGCGCAACAGCAACCGCAACTGGGCGACACAATTCCACCCGCCCGTGGGCGCGCAACTGCAACCGCACCTGGGCGACACATTTCGACCCGCCCGCTGGCGCGCAACCGCAACTGGGCGACACATTTCACATTTCAACCCGCCCGCAGGCGCGCACCCGCAACCGCAACTACGCGACACATTTCGACCCGCCCGCGGGCGCGCGACCGCAACCGCAACTGGGCGACACATTTCATTCAGCCCGCCCGCGGGCGCGCACCCGCATCCGCAATTCGGCGACACATTAAAGCCCGCCCGCGGGCGCGCAACCGCAACCGCACTTGAGCGACACATTTCAACCCGCCCACGGGCGCGCAACTGCAACCGCACCTGGGCGACACATTTTCAATGCAACCGCACCTGGGCGACACATTTCAATCCGCCCGCGGTTGCGCAACCGCGACCGCAATCCGGCGACGCATTTCAAACCGCCCGCGGGTGCGCGAAACGCAACTACGCGACGCAATTCAACCCGCCCGCGGGCGCGCAACCGCAACCGCAACTGGGCGACACACTTCAACCCGCCCGCGGGCGCGCCACCGCAACCGCAACTGGGCGACGCGTTTCACACCGCCCGCGGGCGCGCAACCGCAACTGGGCGACGCATTTCAACCCGCCCGCGCACGCGCAACCGCAATCCCAACTGGGCGACAAATTTCAATCCGCCCGCGGGCGCGCAACTGCAACCGCACCGCCCACCTGCCGCCCTCCTCCAGGGAATCTGAGGCGGAGGAAGGGCGGGAGGGAGGTGGGAGCGAGGGGGGGGGGGGAGGGAGGCGGGCGGGAGGAGGAAGTAGGGGGGGGAGAGGAGACGGAGGGTAGAGAGCTTACAATGATTGGGGGCGGACACCTTCTGCACCCCCTCCCCCCCCGCTCCGCGCACGTGGATCTCCGCGAGGCTCCAGACCCTGGATTCCTTATCCAAGGCCTCCACGGTCTGCTTGCGGGACGGGCGGGCTGGCCGCCCCCGAGGGGGGAGACGAGGCTTTGACAGAAGTGGTCCGTTGCACCGCCTAGTTTGAAGTTGGGGGGCGATGCCGCGGGGATCGATTGCGCGTTCGCCCGCGCGCAAGCTGCGCGCGGACGCAGGTGCGCCGGCGCCGTCTTATTCACGCAGCCTGCCGCGCCTTATCCATGATCTGGCGCAGGAGCAGGTGGGGGGGGAGGGGGGGGGGGCGAGGAGGAGGTAGGGGGGGGGGGGGGGGCAGCAGGACGACGAGGAAGATGAGGAGGAGGAGGAGGGGGAGCAGCAGGACGAGGAGGAGGAGGACTAGGATGGCCAGGGGGGGGAGGACGACGGGGAGGGGGATGCCAGGGTGGCGCTGCTTGAGAAGGTGCACGAGCAGGTGCTTGTTGCGGGGGACTGAGGAAGACGAGGTGGTGGACGTCAGGGAGGACGACGGTGGACGTCCTCAACGCGGCCTCCGGGAGTGACCCGTAGTTCTCCGCCGGGACATTGCAGCGGGTGAACCCCATTCCACTGATTCTTTGATTCGAAGCGCGCCAGGGGCGGCGCAGGGGCATTGCAGGGGCAGCGTCGGGGGCGCCGCCATGGGGGGGCCCAGGCGCCGATCCAAGAAATCAGAGCGAAGCTCCGAAATATTATGTTTATGTTTCGTTTCTTCTGAACTGACGTCGCTTCTCCTTCATGCGACCACCCCTCCGGGGTCAGAGGGTCGACGCTGGAAGGGGTCCCCGGGGGCCTGGAAGGGCCCGGCCCCCGGGGGGCGGGGCCGCAGCGTCGCCGGGCGGCGTGGGGGGAGGGAGGGGGGCGAGGTCGAAGATGGCGCTGTTTTCGACATGTCTGAACTCGTCCACGATGGGATGAATGGGGCGCGCCTCGCAACAGCGAAGTTCAGCGAACGCGTCGAGGAGGTGGCGAATGTTATGCACAAGTGAGCTCCGTCGACTCTCACGTACCTCCTGGAGGATAGCACGAAGCCGTCGACCTCGGGCACAGGACGCGCTGCCACAGACCGTCCGCAGCAGCCCAAACACATCAAGTTGCTGTCACATCCTTGGGGGGGGGGGGGGGGGGGGGGCAAGCTGGCAGGCAGCGCACGTGAAGGACAAATGGTGCGATCAGAAGAAGCCACCAACCATTTTTTGCCACATGACTCGGTGGTTGAGTGGTTCACGGCACGAGGCCACGAACAACTCTCGGCAACGCATGTCCTCTTCAACGAGAAAGACATCATCGAAGGATGGGAGGAGAAGGGGGCCACGGTCGACGGGAATGACGGCGGTGCCTTCCAGCTCATGGCGCAAATTTTGCATGCTGGGCAATCTCCCTTCGGCGCGCTGCCCCCCCCCCCCCCCCCCCCGCCCCACTGGTGTGAAGGATGACGCCCCCATCGCGACCCCTGTTCAGAGGCTAGCAAGTTTCTGCCTGACCATCGCGAGGGATTTCGCGGAGGATTGGCTCTTCCAGCAGGCGAACGAGAAGCCAGTCTCATTGGCGGTCTTGGTTCTGAACGCGGACCTGGCCAATCGTGTACTGAAAATAAAGGTGAGGGAGTGGCATGCGAGAGTGGGGCGACGGTTATGCTCATTGCGTGCGCATGGCATGTCACCGAATTGCTCGCGTTTCCTCTTCCATCATGAGTTTTCTCAATCCGCAGGGGTCGACATTGGTTCCTATGTGGCGTCGTCTCAGAGACGACGAAGCCCACCATGCCTACTTCGCGCGCGTCGCAGGAGGGGCCACAGCAGCCGAGGGGCGGTTGATGCATCGGCCCAGCGACAACAGCACCCTCGGAAGATCATCATCTTCAATTGTCGCGGCCGACATCCAACCGCGGTGGCTTTTGCAGAAGACGCCGGCGACGTGGACTCAGGACGAATAAAGATCGGGCTTGGGCTGTCGATCGAGGTTGCAAGAACGTGTCGAGTGTCACTCGATGCGGGGCGAGAAAGTGGCTCCTCCGGGCGGACTTCGAGGCGCTGGTCACGGGCCAGGTGATGGAGCTCAAGTCGGGCGTCGCCGCGTCGCTCGCGCTTCCACGCCGCGGGGGCAGCAGGCCATCACCTACCAAAGCACCGATTGCAGCATGGAGCACTCCGAGTCAGACGGGCCAGGCTGAGACCGGCGGGACTTCGACGGCCGCGTCATCCAAAGCTTCGACTCCTGCCAAAGACAAGGACGGCGACGTACCGATGGAGGAGGAAGGATCAAATCAGACTCGCAAGGCGGCCAAGCTCACGGACAAACCAGCTGAGACCACGGCCCCTTGGGAGGAGTTGTTCAAGACGAAGGAGGGCGGAGGCAAGGGGAATCGTTCCTATTGCAGTACCAGCTACCCCGCCTACGCCAGCAAGACAAATCACAAGCCGCTCAAGGACTCTGACACGGGACCCTGAAGCAAACTTCAAGGCAATCTTCGGAACGCACTCGCGGCCGAGATGCTGAAGCTCAAGTACAAGAAGGAGGAGGTAGAGGTGCTGACCAAGGCTGGCACATGGGCTACCTACCCCTCGGGGCATCACGGCGGCGGCTAGGAAGGATCAGTGTCACGTGTTCACCGCGCCTGCGAACGTCAAGACCGCGAAGAAGTGCTGGCTCGTCCTCTCGGAGGGCCACTACCAGCTCCTGGTTCGAAGCAAGCCCTCGCCCGCAGAGGTGGAGGCGGAGTGGAGGAAGAACGCGAAGCCGTGACCTCATCATTTATCTGAGGGAAGTCGGAGTACGGCTCCTGCAGCATCGCTGTCCTCGGGGGGCGCGCGCAGTCTCTCGGGGTTGCCGACGCGATCGCGGGCGCCAACAGAGCGTTCACTGTCTACCGGCGGGGCCAAGAGCCTCCTGGGCCTAAAGCCGGCTTCGAGGGCTT